AGAGCTCAGGACAATGCCTCCCATGAGTCCAACTGGAGGTCCAGAGCCACAAGAAGGACTCACGCCAGTCTCTTTCACAGATCTGTGCCGGGAAGACCCAAGGGTCAGCGGTGGTATGCCAGCAGGATGAAGGAGCTGTGCTGGTGGGGTGAGGATTCTATGCTGGAGCCGAGAAGTCAAACTCACAACAAAGACCAGGGCTGTCCTGAAAGGCACCACAGCTGTCCTCAGGGACACAGAGGCCCCGAGCTCCTCCTCCGACAAGCACAATCGGGTACATGCCAGGAAGCAGCGTGACGAGTTCATCCTGAAGACCAAGCAGCACACGTCTTCCCCTCTGGAGCCAGGAGCAATGCTCGATGTGAGGACCAAAGTTTCTCCAGGAGGACCAACAGCTCAGACAGCAACTCGTAGGAGAACCCACAATGCTTCCTTAACGTCTCAACCCTCAACACCTTCCTTCTTCTCCACCTATTTATCCTGGCAACTTTCCTCAGGTGGAGCATCTTCGCCCAATGCCATGCTGATGTAATCCAGCTGGCGTTAAGTTACCACCAGTTCTTAGTCCATAACACTGAGTATCTCACAGTATCACTGTAGAAGACAATTCTACTAGAGCTGTCAAACCACAAAACATTAAACAGACTGTTCTGAAAAAGTCAATCATTCCTTCAACAATGACTTGCCTGGTTCCTACATAAGCGCCCTCACAGATGCATCTTAAAACTCAAGATACCTGTCTTTAGGAAGCTAACATTTTAGAGGGTGAGGAAAAGACACAACTTCTAAACATTTTTTGTCAACAGAATGTCTACAATATTTGGAGCATTTTGCATGATTCCTAGAAGACATAACTGATCTAGACCCAGTTACCAAGAAGTGTGTACCCCAACTGTAGAGATAAGACATTTAAAGATTAATAACAGACAAAATACAGGATAACATTGTCAAAGAACCAAAAGATAAGGATTGTGTCAATTCACTGTTATGCACTTTGGGCCAAAGGATCAGTATTAACTTCTAGGTTTGTCACAAGCTCGGAAGGAAAAAGAGCCACTGAGAAAGAGAAGTGAGGCCGAAATTACCAAGAAAGGAACAGTCTGAATCAACGCCAGGGAGAAAACTGAAAGAGCTGCTAGAACAACAAAGAATTCTCTGCTCCTGCCGCCACTTTGCTTCTTAATTACTCAGTGAAAGTGCTCCTGTCTGCCTGCCTGCCAGGATCTGATGCTTACAGAGCCACCTCGTTCAGAAAGCTGTCAGACCCATTCCTCTCCATGCCTGTGGCCACTGTGGACATTTCTCTAACTACTGCACAAGACTCAACCTAACACCTCCCTTTTCCACCCATTTTGCAATATGATACTGGGGAGATCTTTCGAAAAGCAAATCTGATCCTACCTGCTCTTCATAGAGCTCACAAATCTCATATAGGTTAAAACCCAAAAAATCCTTTATCAAGTGTAGAGGAAGCTTCATGGTGTCACCCCTTTTCTTCCCTCCCAGCTTTCACCTGCTCCCTCCCTCACTGGAAGAAAACTCCTGGGCGGAGCCCTGCCCTTTGAGCCCCTACCTGGCCCTTCAGGCTCTCCTGTGAAGCTCTTCATCTACTGCCCTCCCAAGGCTCTACACACTTCTGTGGTGCTTACTCTAAAAGTTCCAAGGACGCTGCCTCCCTAAATTCAGGGATAAATCTTCCACATTTTTAAATGGTCCCACATCTGGTGCAGCACCTAATCCTGCACCCAGCAAGGATGGAGTGCTCAATTAACACTGATGAAGCAAAATTGGGGGTAGGGCCAGAATTACAGGTGATTAAACATGCAGTGTACTACGAGGGACTAGAGATGCTATGGGAAGCCAAGTCTGCCTAAAAACCTGAGGGTGAAAGAGAGCTAATAAAGACAACACAGAGGCACACCTGGGCACCACCTGTTACTAATACTCCTAAGAACACAAGCATCAGTGGTGCCTATCAGAGTAAACTCTGCCAGAAACAGACAGGGAACCCAACACATTCAACCATCTACCAAAGTAGGAACCCAAAACAAGCAATCAGCCATCCCAATAAAACCTTTCCACCTGAATGCCCTGATTACTTCCTTATAGCCCCTTTTTTGGAACTTTTCTTCCCTCAACAAAGTCTGAACCATTGAGAAGGCAAGAAACAAAATGAAACAGCATACTAAATCTAAGTTTTCAACTCTGCCACAAAAGATGCTCCCTCCTATCACTTTTTGTATCAATAGGAGGAGATGTTGAATCAAATCTCTGATCAACTGGGGTAGGAAAAGCACTAGAGACAAGGCAATCAACAACATTTCCTGCCACCAGGCCGGGCATCAAACAACCCCTTCCATGAGCTTGGAATAACATGGTCTCCACTAGTGCAACGAAGACTACAAGCCATGGATTTCCTCACTTTTGCTGAGATGTTAACTTCTGCGGATGGTTTTTGAAGCTGATGTAGAAAATAAGTGACTTTTTTGCAAAAATGCCAAGAGGTTAGCTTGGTAATAAACCTTATAGCCATAATTTCTAGAGGCCATCAGTTATGCGAACAATGAAAATACCATTGTGAAATTTACAACTTTGATTCTTGTTTGGCTAACTCCAAACAAGGAGGTAACCATGACACTTAAGTACACAGCAGTGTTTAAGGAGTAAGCAAAACTCAGTGCTTTAAAAGCCTCCCTCCTGGTAGTGTGAAAGCACACTTCCATGCAAGCATATAAAACATTTCTATGATACAATTAGGGAGTAAAATTGTTGGAAAAACTTTTCTTTTTTGTCTCATGCAAATTTGTTCATGATAATGTTCATGTTATATTCAGAAAGCTGTCAAAATACCTCCTGCTGTAAATTATAAAGTTAATATGTAAGAAGGATGTCACAGAAATCTTCAGCATTTGAGTGGGTTTTAATCTATTGTACAACTATCGGAATGTCAAGTCCTAGGAGAAATATACTAGTTAACTGCATTAACATTACAAAACCAGAGACAAAGGTCAAAATTATTAAGTTTCACCAATCTCCCTCCTCATACTTAGAAATCATTTTGTAATAATTTTGTAATAGGCTGCATACCACTGTCAGCCTACCTCCAGCAACCATTAAAAAGGCTTATTATTTTATAACAGCATAAGCTTTCAATGGGCACAATAAAATATTGCCTGATATAAAAATCACTGCAGCTCCAATCAAATTTGTATTTTCAAAAGGAAACAAAAATTGCTGAAGTCTATTTAAATATGTGTCACTTGTCATGAATATGTTAATTGATTAGTAGAACATTTTAATATGAGTAGCTTCTGGAGGGTAAGGAAGGAGGCACAGACTTAACTATATCTACAGACTTGAACAAACATGAATTACCTCTATAATCAAAGCGCTCAGTGCTTGTAGTGAATTTTATGATGCGCTATCACATAAACAGAGACTACACAAAATTACTTTGCCTTCTAAATTGAGATCTATTGATGGCATAGTGGAACAAATGAAACTTGGAGCCTCTTGCTTAAGTCAATTTCCTTTTGGGTTTTTACCTCCTTTATATAAACGGTGACATCTCACCTTAAAAACATTTTTCCAGGAAAATACTTGAGCTAATTTTACAGTAATTTTTAAAACTGCTCTCATCGTTTATATTTTTACGTATCATCATGCACTACCTAATCTTGCTAAACACAAACATCACACATTCTATGTCCACCAGTGATCAGACAGAAAAAGCACTCATGATGGAAAACTTGGGTTTGGAGGTGAGCACTTAAACATATCAACCTGTGAGTTTCACAGTCTCCTAGTACTATCTGCTACTTTCAAAAAGATGAATACCTAATAAACTGTTCTCCTGTGCATGAATGGTAAAGCTAAGCCACAGTGTACCCACGGTCCATTCAACTTGCCTCTAGACAATAAGAAATTTTACCAAAGCCTAAAAATGTACAAGGAAAAGAACTCACATCCAATTCCTAAAATTAAGTTTAAGTTGTTAGAGAAGATTACGGATTTAAAATGAGACATGGCCGACCACGGTGGCTCACACCTGTAATCCCAGCACTCTGGGAGGCTGAGGCAGGAGGATCATTGCAAGTTTGAGCCAGCCTGGGCTACAAAGTGAGCTCAAGGCCAGCCTGAACTGCACAGCAAGACCCTGTCTCAAAAAGGCCAAAAAAAAAAAAAAAAAGTGAGATGGAACTGTCCTGTTTCAAAACTGATTTGGCATCCGGAGACTGGAACGGAGTTGCCAGAACTGACCGGCAAGGTAATTTAATCAGCCTTCCGGAGAGACTAATCTATTATCATTCCCTGACAGTGTTCTCTTCAGGGATCTGATTTTCCCCCTCCTCCTCCCATTCCTTTCTCCTGCCTCACGCCCTGTGGGTCCTTTTGTTTGCTCTTTTGCTTAACAGCTCTCCTCCGTTCAGTCTACCACTCCTAATTAAAACGCAGCTACCTGGGCTTGTTCGCCGAGCTCCAGGACTTCTGCGGTCCAGCAAGATTCCTCCCCCGCGCACTCCGCGCTGCAAAAGGAGAAGGATCCTGGCCCGCGCCCAGCGGCCACAAATCCGTTCCCGGGCCGCCCCGCCCGGCCCGGGCCCCAGCCCTCCTTCCCCAAGCAGCCCGTTCGCTTTCACTTTAGACGGGATTCAGGTGGGTCCCAGCCTGCTCTCCATATGCAGGCCAGCTCCCCGAACCCCGCCTTCATGCTCGCCGCTGCACCCCGGTTCTGCGGAACCCCCAGCCTGGTTGGAGGCGCAGGAAATGACCCAAAAGTTGCTTATGAGCCGAGACTTCCGCGCCCGGATGTTTCCCGGGCTGCATCCCCTTGCCTTCCCTGGACTGTACCCCGGTGCCCCGGGACTCCCCCTGCCCAGCGACAGGACAGGGCTCGGCCTCCTCCCCCGCCGCTAGGATCCGATAGCTCAGTGCCCGTGCGCAGCCCAGACTCCCCTCGCCGGCTCGGGCTGCGCCGGGGCGCCGGGACCCTCGCTCACCGATGTCTCCATCCTCCTCGTCATCCTCCTCCTCTTGGTCCATGTCTAGCAGAACGTTCCTGGTCATCATTTGCATATCTCCCCCAGAAGGTGGCTCCGAACTCGGCGAGCGGCCGGGGGATCCGGGGTCCCGGAAGAGCGCAGGTCTCAGGGAGCAGGGGGCGGACGCCCGGGCGGGGAGTGCGGCGCGCGTGTCCCGGGCGCGGGGAAGCCCTGCCTGGGCGGCGCGCCACTGAGCATGCCCAGTGCGGCGCGGGGCGGGCGGGCGGACGGCCGCGGAATGATTAACTTAGCGGCTGCTGCGGCAAGAGGAGGAGTCCGGAGGCGGCCAGCGAGGGAGTGCACGCGTTCGCGCCCCGCGCCTCGCGCCCCAGCAAAGCCGGCACAGGACACGGTGCGGGCTGGGCTGGCCGGGTGGCCCCAACTTGCCCCGAAAAGGCGGAGCAGCTTTTGTTCCAAGGTCATATATGGACACAAATCGGAGCTTGCTTTTTTTTTTGAGATGAAAGAACAGTTGCGTCAGCTCACGGCAGAAAAGCAGAGAGCTAATACGGGCATCTTAAATTAGTCTTGATTCCAAAGGGGGACAGTGTCTTCTCCAGGAGTAGGTGAAAGGACATGCGAAACTTATGCGCGAAAGACAGGATTTCCGCATGAAGTGCGGCTCACCCGCGAGAAAAGCGCCCCCTAGTCGGCCCGCAGGGGCGCGCACTGGGAGTGGTCAGACGGTCACCCCGGCTGCAGCCGCCTGGGAAAATGGAAATCAGCCCTGTGTGTGGCCGAAAAGAAGGCCAGCGCCATGACAGGTGCCTGCACACCCTTCTAAAGCAATATAGAAAGCCACAACAAGAAACAAGAACCCCATCATTGTTGGGCTTCCTCCCTCCAAAGGATTGTCTTCATTGTCCCGGGGCATGGTGGCACATGCCAGTATTCCCAGCACTGTAGAGGCTGAAGCAGGAAAATCGTTGGGAGTCCGAGGCCAACCTGGGCTACACAGTGAATTCGAGGCTAGCTAAACTGCATGGCAAGACACCTTCTCAAAAAAAAAACAAAACAAAACTAGGAGGAGGAACGAGTTACAACTCAATCCCTGGAAACCAAAGGAAACAGTAGGATAAATACAAAAAGGTTTATGCTTCCAAGACTTGAGTTAGTTTTGAGACAGCCTACAAGCACTGGAGAAGTGGGGCAGGCTGGAGGGGGGACATGACTGTCTTCACCTCCAGTTGCTTCCCGCGACTCCTGATGAACTGGGACAACTTACTTCAGTGTCCTCCAGGCTAGCTCACAGTGACCTTGACTGCGAAGGGCCACCGTCCATTCTAACTGGAGTGCAGCCAGTCAGTCCAAGTCAAGCCGCGCCCTGCCCCCGACCCCACCCCTGCCCCTAAGGACGATACTGCTCCCTTTTTGAAGGAGGCAGGAGGCACCTCGGAGCAGGATCAAGGGTCCTTATTTGCATGCTGAATATTCATAGCAAACTTTCCAGAAGGTTCCCTTGCTCGGGCCCTGCCCCTCTCTAACAGAGACTTGTAACTGCCGTGAAAGCAGCGTCCCCAGCCACCTCTCTGGGTTTAGTCTAGGCGAGTGCCTGCGTGTGTGCCGACTCATGAGTGCGCAGGCCTGCTTCGCGTTTGGAAACCTGCTCAGGAACGGTTCTCGGGAAGTGAAGACTCCAAAAGTCCTGTCAGTCTACTTGGGATTTTTATTGTGAGTAGTGCAGGCAAAGCAGCTGTCTCAAAAGCAAGAGCAATAAACAATGAGAGCTTGCGGCTCTGAGGAACTCCAGGAACCAACAGAGAGTGGGATGGCAGGCATCGATCCTGCACTTTGCTAAGTCTTGATTTCCTTCAGAAGAATAGATCAAAAGAACCCTGGGCTAATAGGCAATAGTTTGAACTGTAGGTTTCTTGGATTTTGGGAGTCTACAGAACTTTTTTCCCCAAAACCCTGGTGAATTCAGATACATTAAGTTAAAATGGATTTCTGAAAAGGGTTAGAGGACAGGGGTGTAAGTCGGGGGGTGGGGGGGGAGGGGTGGTTCTGACCTGATGTTACATTTGTTAGGGTCTCTCTAACATGTCTCATTGGAGTTCTCTATATTTTTATTCCACTGCAGTACCAGCATTATTACAATGTTACTAGCTCTATTGTGCATTTTATTTTTTCATATATTTATTTTTCATGTTCTCACATGAAAGAAAACAGAGACCCAAACATAAGTGTGAAAATAGCCATAAATACTCTCTGAGGGACATGGTAAGATAACTTTTAAAGCATCCAAGAAACATGATACGTGCTTCCTAAAGGACTTTTTTATACAGAAAATATTATTTTTAATATAGTACTCTGATGGTATGAGGTGGGGGCATAAGGAGAAAAGGGGGAAGATTGTCTCCCTTCATTGAATTCTCTGCCTTGAATCTGTAAAATTGGCTGAATAGAATTCCACAGGTGTTTTGGGTTCGTGAGCGCTTTGTTTCACAATTTTCATTTAACAAATGCTTGCATCGAGCTTTCTGTGTGCTGGATACAGTTCCAAGTTTTACAGGCCTTCTGTCACTTCATCTCATAGTCATCCTACCAGTTATTCCTCTTTCCCTCTCTCAGGCACTAGGCCTGTGGACCTTGCCCCAAATCACACAGGAAGTAAGGGGCAGAGCTAGGATTGACCCAAGGAACTTGTTCCAGCACCTGTGCTCCTAGCCACCTAATAAACCCTGCCAGACACATTTCCAAATCTGATTTTTTTCAAAATCATTTTGTTTTTCCTACCACTTCTAAACTCTCAAAGTTTCATCAACTCCCATAAAGAGCCATAGCTCTTTTGCCAGATGTTCTGGATTTTATGGCTTAAAATTTTGCTTGAAGTTAATTTGCAGTTGGAAAAATTCTCTTGGCTCATTTTGCAACAGGTTTCAGTGAGTCATTTGGAATTCTTCAGATTTTAGAGATTACATTTTTCTTGCTTGCTGAATTTTACAGAGACATGGCTGGCCTTATACTTAAATGTTACTGTGCTAAAAGGGACATAAAGTATTAGGTTAGCTGTGAGTCTACAATTAGTAAATTCCTTCATTTCTTTTAATCTGTTTTCCTGCAGCTTCTCTCATGCATTGTTTTAAATTCAGCAGTGTGCTCTTCAAAAATAATCCAAATAGGCATATGTAAGGATTACACCATTAGTCCTAACGGATTATCATCTATATTGTGAACAGCTTGTGAAAGAAAATGTTCCAGACAATATGTGGTCAGGTTATTTGTATCAGCAAAGCTTTCCCAAGTCAGGGAATACAGACCAAGTATTTTCTCATTCCCTTGTCTCCTGATTAATTTCTGCCTTGACCTCAAGGATAGTCTTTTGCTATCTGTAAATGCTGATGCTTCTCTGGCTTCATCTTCACGCCTCTTTTCTCATCTATCTCTGTAGAGCTTATTCAGGCCTACCAATTTAATACTGTCTGTTCCAAGCATGGCCAGTCTCATCAGCTTTCATTCACATGTGGCCCAATACTCAGAAGTCTTGATCTTTGAGGTTTAATGCTCCGCGATTGCCTCCTGAAAATTCTTAGTAACATTATCTTTGAATTTTGGTTTTGTAAATGGAGTCTAATAGGACAGTACCACAGTTTATGCCCAGCTTCCCATCACTTTTCTGCCTCCCTAGGATTGCTTCTCAGCCACCAGCTCCTATGTTCCCTGGTACCTCAGCCATGACCGTCTCCCATATAGCCAGGATTGGTGTCACACTCCGTCCTTAGTCCAGAAGTCCAGGCACCAGTGCATAGGAGGCCAAGGTCATGTGCATGAACCCACTATATTTTGGCTGAGGCATAATGATAACTGTCTGTGCCCTGGCCTAGCAGTGCCACAGTGCATCCAGTGGGAACCTTTTACACATGCCTATCACAGAATTCGTGATCTCTTGGAAGTTGTCCCCAGAATATGGGTTGCTGCAGAAAGCCAGTGCGTGATACTTGGCTCAACTTTGTGCCCCTTGGTTGGAGCACATTTTGCCAATCCTGCAAAAGGTGGTGGAATAACTCAGTAGCTGATGAGCCTGATATGCTTTTTGAACAAAGGCCCCCATGTTTGTATTTTGAACTGATCCCTGAATATCATGTAGCTGGTTCTGTTTTCACAATCTTTATTTGCAGGCCAGGTCTCTTCTTCACAGTACCAATCATAGGTAATCCTGTAGGCTGGACATTTCAAATTTAGCAGGTCCAAAAGAATTTATACACTCTGCCACCAAATTGTTTCCCTAAATCAAAGGATGCTGTAAGCTAGTTATATAAGTTAACATTGTTTTGACTCCTGCTTCTCTTTTTTTGTCCCCATATCAAATCAATTGTTGAATTCTGCTCTATCTACTTCCTTGCTATCTTAAATACATCCTGTATTTGTTGTTTATTGTTGCACTAGATGACATTTTAGCAATGATTTGAAGGAAGTAGGTTAATACATGTAACTATCTTAAGCAGAAGGAAATGTTAACATAAAACCTCCAGGGAGAACTGACAAAGAGGCCATGGCATAAAAGATTGTCTCAAAATTTTATGGCTTACAAAAATAAGTACAATTTCACACAATTTCTGCATATGTGCCATTTTAGAAAGATACTAGAATTAGTTGATTGTCCCTGATAACATAGAAGGAGATCATTTTAATGAAAAGGAATAAAGAACTGCATAAGAGCAAGAATTGTGGTATTTGCCCATTAGCACTATTGTGATAGAAAGAAATCTCTACAAGATGTTGTACGTAGTGTGAATCCATACAACTTTTTCCTTTTCAGATATTATTGGAAAGAGAATCTGAGGCATTAAGTGATCCATTAGAGATATATCTGTAGTCAGTGCTTTATCCTCTTAGTTCTAATTGTCAAGGACACAGTCTGTTATAGCTCTTAACTCTAGTCATAATGATGGACAATAGGCCTCTTGAACTTACTCTTCTTTGTAACTTAAATTCTGTATGCTTTGACCAACATCCCCTCAATTTCCTAGCCTCTTGTTTTAGTCACTTTGTCATCACTGAGATACAATACCCAACCTCCACAACTTAAGGAAGGAATGGTTTATTTTGGCCCATAGTATTTACAGGTTTCTATTATTAGTGTGGTAGGACAGAGCGGCATGGCAGAGGAGAAACAGCTCATGCATACCAGTGGGTAGAGGGAGCGGAGAGTGATCAAGGGAGGGAGAGAGACCTTTCAGCCCACACCCCAGTAACCCACCACCTCCAGCCAGACTTACTAGTGGACTAATCCACTAAATGAG